TAATAAGCAGCGGGAATGCTCTACGGAGTGGAACAAGCAGCCAGATGTGAACTGAAATTGCTTTTGAACTGGAGAAGGTACACTACTAGATAAAGCTTTTGCATCTCCCAGACATTCGCCTCAGCCTATCACCCAGAAACACTCCTCTTTCAGAGAGGCTGTAGTTTTAGAGCCTGATTCTGGAGGCTGCAGAGTGTCTTCCTGACTTCAGTAGGAGTTGAGGGTACCACAGAAAAAGCATCCATCATCTAGCAAGATGGGCACCTTAATATGAACTCCCCTATAAGACTCCCATGCTGCATCCATTTTTAATAATTCCCGGTGCTTAGATAATTGTTTCCCCTTTATCTATTTTGATGTTTTTAATAATATATTTATGAATCTTGTTTGTAATTTTATTTCTATTTCAGCTGTGTGTGCAGTACCCTGCACACACCTTGGCACTGAGTGCTTAATAAGTAATAAAATTATTGTTTTAACTATATGCATAGCAGCCTGCTATTACAGAAGACACCTGAGAAAAGAGAGATCAAAACAGCCATCAGAAAATTTACTCTGCTCAAAAGCCATGCTCTTAGGAGTGTCTACCTGTTCCGCATCAGTAATTAAAAACTCAAGAGCAAAACTTGAATATTTTACTATCAGCTCAACAGGAAAGGAAAAAAAAAGTGTGGAAAATGTAACCAGATACCAGAAACAGTTAGCTGTGTTACACAAAGTTTAACACCATAACATTTGTGGGAGTTGCTAAACCTGAACCTCTTGAATACAGGGACTAAGGACTAGAAGCCAGTTAGTTTTGATTTTGCTCACCATCTGCTTTTCACAGGGCCAGTATTCTTTGCTCACATCCCTCCCTCCCCACTTAAGATTTTCTTCTCCTCTCTGTGTCAAAAGGTGCTAAGTCACCACAGGCACCCTCTGATTGAACAGACAGCCTCATCCAAAGCTGGCTGTCTCTCTGCTGACCACAAGGGGCCACTCAAGGGTAAAGGAGCATATACCATTCTCCATGACGGACGCTGTGAAAAGTTACCATGGTGGCCTTCCAGCCAGAGGTGCAGAAATCCTGAGAGTTAGCCTTTGTCCTAGGGTTTCTCTTACAGCAACATATTGTTCTGCCCACTGAATGTTGGGCTGGCTGTCTACTCTGCTTAACTGTTATTATTTACATTTCTATCTACTGTTATATGCAGCATTATCATATGCCTCTTTACAGCTTTAGAACTTACTCAGCATTGGGAAAAGCTAGGGGATTGGTGCAGATGGCCCAGGAAGGGGGGGAATGGCAGATTGAGCTGGGGTTTTATGAGGCTAATTAACTAACATGATGGGTTAACAAATGTTTGAAATGGGTTCGCTGCTATTTTGAATTGTATCGAGCACCAAGAGTTTGAAAAAGAGGCTATAAAAATCTAAATACATGGAACAATATCCACAGGATGAACACAAGTTAACTAAAGAGGCTTCAAGTGTCACGCTCTACCCTTACAATACGGCAATTATTATACAATTCCTCGGTTCATTGTTTCCCCAGATATTTATTTAATTGCACTGCAGCATAAACATATGGGACCTTTATTCCACCTTCAGCTACGCAAGCTTAACTCCCATGAATTGCAACACAAGTTGCACAAGTGGGTCTGGGAGCAGAATCTGCTTCATGAGATAGAAAATGACTTACAATTAAATATTTTTGTTCCAAATTTGTTCTTCGGGTCATACACCTGGGTGTGTGTTTTGTTGCAATACAAGTTCAAACTTTAACGAGATATGAAATTATCTCTACTGGACAACTCAGTTAGCATCTATAGTAGGATGGGTATGTTTGTTTTGGAGCTAGCTGTGTGATTGCCACCAAATCCATAAAAAACATTTTGCATTTCTAGATCCTTTCTTTCCAGGTTCGCTAAGCAATTCAGGTACGTTACTTAAGATACACAATGACTGTATAAGATAGGAAGTATTAATGTTACATGTAATAGATGCTGGCTCATTATTGGCTAAAAATATTTATGTAATGAGTCAGTAAAATTTGAATGGCTACCTCCTGATAGATCAATAACACCAAGGTCTGAAGCAGTCTTAACCAGAGAGCATTGGCAAGTAACTGCTTCCTGATGAATTCAGTGAAATCTGTTATTCAACTTTTAATCGCTTTGCAGCCACTCAGATAAATGGAAATCTATGCTTCTGGACTGACTTGCTAATCATTAACTGTTTTCTTGCAGGCCTATAACTTCATCTGTCCCAATACAATGTTAGTTTAAAGGGGAAAATTTGAAATTAGTGGACTTAATTATTAGGTGTTTCTAATTAAAACACTCTGAACATATGCAACAATACAAATGTTGGCTTTGTATTTTGGTGAACATGGAGATTTGACTTCAGTTGGCTTTAGGGCAATATTTTCCTCTTGGGACAAAAGAACTTGATTTTTCTCAAGAGGAGTCAGGAGCAGCTTATAGTTGTCTATTTTACAAAAAGGGGAACTGAAGCACAGAATTCAAGTGGCTTAATTAATCTTACAAAACAAGACAGTGGTAGGGTAGAGCATGCAAATGGAGAATTCTCACGTCCAGCAGTTGCTCTAGCCACTAGACAATACTCCCTCCACTTCACAAATAATTGGTGTAAAGTCTGTAAAGAAGAAACTTCCCTTTTCAGTGCCAGTGGGGTGGAAGCCTCTTAAGTACACAGTTTGATTTTTATCAGTCCTCCTTAAAAACATGATTTGATTTTTTTTGTTGACTTGCCGTGACTAACATTGTATAGTTAGGGAAGGACTTAAACCATATTGTCTTGCTGTTTGTTTTGACCTCTGAACTCTTTAAACAAAGTAATCCTTGTGAATTAGAAATTAAAATGATCCTGCTGAGCTTTGTGGTGCGCTCAATAAAAGGCAACGATTAATATTTAAGGGAAAACAGGTTAAAGATTTTAAATACAAGAGTTAGGTTTTAGGGATTTCTCCTTATCAAGCTGTTTGAGATGCAGGAGTCCTGCATGCAAGTCCCTAGCCTACATGAACCAGAATATATCCCTCCCTCTCTGATCAGTGCCCTAATGCACACTTAGGTTACGTCTACACTCAGGGGCGGCCAGTGAGCCTAGGCAGACTAGGCAGTCGCCTAGGGCGCCGCCAGCCCGGGTGCCCAATGATGACGTCACAGCTATTGACAGCCGTACAGGCGGGGGCGCCGATCGCACCTTCCGCCTGGGGCGCTAGCTGCCGCAGCCGGCCTTGGGCCACTCTTGACTACAGTACGAGTTTTCTCGGCAAAAAATATGCTAACGTAGGACTCATTTGCATGAGTCATGATCTCATTTGCATATTTTCTGCAGATTTTTTTTGCTAGGGTTTTTGTGCAAAAAACAATCAGTGTGGACGTTTTCTTTTTGCGCAAAAACCCCTTTTCCTGCCAGATCCTTATGCCCCCCAAAAAAGGAGGTTTACCAATCTGGCGGGAAAAGAAAACGTCCACACCGCTTGTTTTTGCACACAAAACCTAGCGAAAAAACGGATCAGCAGAAAAATATGCAAATGAGTACCTCATTAGCATATTTTGCCAAAAAAACCTCATAGTGTAGACATAGCCTAACAGAACATCTACCTATCACTGATAAAACATGGCTCCTGAGATTAGGAGTCCAGTGGACTACACAGGCCTTTAGAGACAGATTTTCAGACACGCTCTGCTCCCATTTAGGCACTCGCTTAGTGGACATTTTCAAAAGATGGATGTACATGGGTTGCTGTGATATTTTGAAAATCTGACCTCAAATGTGAGCGCTTTGAAAGTCTGGCCCTTGTGACCTAAAAACATCATTCATACCAAACTGATAATAAAACAACTGATCTTCAGCTTCAGTGATTCTTCCTTTGATCTAAGGGCTGTCTAAATTACTCTGCTATGTGAGCCAGTACTGTCTCCCACTCTTAGGCTGTTCTGCTGGTATTTACATGTTGCAGAAAATGATATGACAGAAAAGAGAGTTTCTGAGAAAGATGAATGGTGTTGATAGCCAGATACGTAGCATAGTATTTTGCACTTCTATTGCACATTTCATCCACAGGCCTCAAAAGCATTTTGCAAACAGGAAAAACTTAAAAAACAACAAATAGTCTAGTAGCACCTTAAAGACTAACAAAACATGTAGATGGGATCATGAGCTTTCGTGGGCACAACTCACTTCTTCAGATGACAGGAGTGTTGGAAGACACTTTTTGCAAACAGTTAGAGGGGGGATATGATAGAGGTATATAAAATCATGAGTGGTGTGGAGAGGACAAATGAAATTAATGGGGAGCAGGTTTAAAACTAATAAAAGAAAGTTCTTCACACAGCGTGTAGTCAACCTGTGGAACTCCTTGCCAGAAGAGGCTGTGAAGGCTAGGACTATAATAGAGTTTAAAGAGAAGCTAGATAATTTCATGGAGGTTAGGTCCATAAAAGTCTATTAGCCAGGGGATAAAATGGTGTCCTTGGCCTCTGTCAGTCAGAGGCTGGAGAGGGATGGCAGGAGACAAATCGCTTGATCATTGCCTTCGGTTCACCCTCTCTGGGGCACTTGGTGCTGGCCACTGTCGGTAGACAGGATACTGGGCTAGATGGACCTTTGGTTTGACCCAGTACGGCCGTTCTTATGTTCTTACTTACCAACCTTGTGAGGTGATAAGTATTCTTCCCATGCTACATATGGGGCAATGGAGATCCTAGGGAGGTTGAACAATTTTACCAAGGTCTCACAGTGAGTCAGTGGCAGAGCTTTGAATAAAACTAAGGTGTTCAGAAAGGACTATGAGGAGGATGGTGCAACAACCTTGATAGAGGGGCTAATTTCAAGTTCCTTGTTCCAGCTACCAGAAAACGGTTTGCATTCTGATCCTGAGTATCTTTATTATACAGTGCTTCAGGGCGACAGTACTCCGTCCCTGATGACACAAGCATAATTAATTACCACGTCAACTAAGAAAACAAATAAAACCAAATACTTACATGAGTACAAAATCTTTCAGGAGGGTCCCCACAGGTGATTCCTGGTGGATCCACTCTCACGATCACATAATCCTTCATTCGCATGGCCTTGGGCTGGCAAGCGTAAAATTCCCATGATGGGCCATCATCTGTGGTCACCCAGGATTTGCAAATGTCATAGTGTCCCATGGCCAGAAGGAGACAGTGCAACAGAAAAGCAACCAGGTACAACATGGCAACTGAGACCAAGCACAGGGTCCCTGGGCAAAGGAAATGCCTAGAGTCCTGAGAAAGGCAGTTACTGGACTAGGAGTTACTGTCAGGATCAGCATGGAAACGTCTCATCTACAAATATTATATAGCTTAAGGAGATCCAGATGACAACAATGGCCCAGCTCTGTATGCTGCATTCAGACAAGGAAAGTCTCTTAGTACAGAAGCCACGTTTACAAGTCACTTGATCTGGAGATTTATAGACAGCCCTTCCAGAACTGCTGATCAGCGGTCAAAAGTCTTCCTTAATTTAATGTGGGGTTTGTTTTTTTGTTTTTGTTTGGTTTTGCATAAAAGATCTTCTAAATCAGTGTGGAATCTAGAGGTGACTCTACTCAATCAATAGAGCTATCAAATTCTAGTTTGGTGATGAAATTTGATAGGTGAAAAATTGGAGAGGCTACGTGATGAGGCTAGGTCAAGTTTTCTTTAACCTTTTCATCTGCTACAAATGTCGAGCTTTTTAAAGTGCCTTAAACTGTAGAAATCATTATTTTAAAAAAATATTTAAGCAACATTATTATCTATATAACCTTGAAATGAGTGACTCTTTGGGCCTAAACTTTACTTCTTTCAAAGGGCAATCTTTCTGACAACATAATTTGGGTAGTAAATTTTATAAGCCATCTAAACAGGTTCTCCTATGGTCACTTTATTGATAATATGACCACTGACTTGTTTGCTTTTTATTTTGCTTCTTGCACTGGTGACGAGGCAGGCACATAGGACAATTTCTCATTGATAATGCCAAGTTTCCAAAGATTCAGCTATAAACCGTCCAACTACCTGAGGTCTTGTTTCTCGTTCATTATAAGGGGAAAGGGAGAGCTCATTAGCAAGCACCACCTGCAACAAATTAAAAGACAGATTAGCTGGAAGAAACAGGGAGAAGGTGAAACAGGGTTTGCAAGAACACAACTCTTCTATGAAATATACAAAAATTAGACAGAGCTTTAAGAGCCATGAGAAAAAAAAAAGCTTGTAAGTGAGATATACAACTTTAATAAAAAAATCCATATTAAAATACTTATGGGTGTTCTATTGTATAGCAATTTCATATCAGTAGCTATCCCATTTAAGGGTATCTGATTTTTAATAGTATCTGAAAAACAACAGCACTAATGGATCTCTAAATTATATCAAGAAGAAATGATAGGTCATTAGAAGATTTAGAATGGACCATGAATAGGTAGACATAGACAAGAGGGACAGACAGACAAATTGATAGTCTTGCAAAATAAGCAAATAAATAAGATAGCTAGGCAGACAGATACACAGTCCAGTATCCCCAGACAGGATTTATTTGCACAATAACCTTTAATGAAAACAATTTAAAGTACTAATAACATTTAAGGTTCTCCTAACACAAAGAGCAATGACCTCTCCCAGTATTCATTTCAGATTAAACAAAAAAAAGTGTAATCTTTTCCTCTCTTGCCACTAGCGTATAAAAATCCCAAGTAATCACAAAACAACATAAGAAAACTTCTCTTAGCATTAATCCCAAGATAGTTCTATAATGAGAGTTGTGAAATGTGTTTTCAGAAAACTTGAACAATGACTAATTCTCTTTCCACCTGAGTCTACAATTCCTCCCCTGCTCCCAATTTAAAGATGACTTTGTTTACATAGTGTATTCAGTATTTGCTTTATAATAAACCTTGGTTACTATGTGAAACTCTAGGTTACAGATTCATCGATCCATGTTAGGGGGATTCATACATCTATGTTAACATGTCCCTCTACACCCCTTTTTTTGGCTGAACGATTTCTGATTGAGATGAATGAATGCAGAAGAGAAAACCCATCTTTCATGCTCCATCTCTAGCTGTTCAAAGGAGAGCCTGTTATAGCTTCATTGGCCCTAAATAAACTCCCCCAGAAAGGAATAGTCTTGTTGCTATTTTTACATTATGAATGCAAATAATAAAACAATGTGACACAGAAGTGTCTATAAGTCCTACTGACATCAGAGCTATATTTCTGATTATAAAAATCAGTGCCTAATTATTGCATCAAATTGGTCACTGCCAACTGTTAAACAGCATCACAGAGAAGCAGAGATTTAAGTAGAACACACAAACCAAGTAAAATAATTTTCTGTTGATGGTCATGCCAACTGTTATCTTTTAAGAAAGTATTTTCATAACCTAACAAATAATGTATTTTGCACTAGCCTGGCTGACAGAGGGAGAAGCTTAAGGAGGAAAGAATCTATAATATCTATTAGTTGTTTTGTTAGGTTATATTTTCTAAATGTCACAGATTCCCAAAGAAATAAAAATCTGCCTGAGAATTTATTTACAAGTATTTGAACAGGCATATTGTCTCCTTGTTATAGTGTAAACATTTTAACATTACAGATGTTTAGAAGAAATAATCCACAGTATAGCTCTGAAATAATATGGCATAAAGCAAATAGAGAGGGATTTTTTTTTTTGACAATAAAGGTTTCACCCTGATCGGTTTGGTTTTGTCCTTAGAAAATACATTTTCACCTGATATTATTAAGAAAGTGTAGTTCATGGGAACAAATAGAATCAGTGCTCTTTATTTTCCTTTAAGAGTATTCAGCAGTCACAAGGGACTGATAGCTAGAGTATTAAAAACACAAAATTAGATTTTATCTGGGTATCTGGACTTAGCTCTTTCCTTTTTTTATTGGATCAACCCCTTATTGAAATAAAGGGACAACACTATGAGTTATAAAACATTGCTCTGGAATTAAGTACAGAAAGTAAACTTGATGAAGTTCTCAATTTTCTTTCCAGAAGTGTTGCCTCAAACTATAAAAATCAGAAGGACTGACAAACACTGTGTTCAAGGAGATTTTCAAATCCCCTTTCTCTTTTTCAGGGTGATGAAATTCACCCTTTGAAATCACCCTAAAAAGCAAAGTTAGAAAATATACCCCCAGCATGTAATATGGCAGGCACATGATGTTGCAAAGCTCAGAGGAGAACCATATTCCCAATAGTAAGATTGCAAATCTCACTCACATTTAGCTGCTATCCTTAATGCATTTGTGGTTCCACATAAATTGATGCTGCTTTTCTTTTCTTTCCTTTCTTACTCCTTGTAAGGTTTCTTTTACATAAGGACTTTGAGCTCATTCAAGGACTAATGTTAGAAAGTAGGCAAAACAGGAAATTAGATGTCAGTGTAATATGATGATCTCTAGCTTTGCATCACTTATTCTGAAACTCTAAAAAAAAGTTTAATTGTGGAGAACACCAGTTCCTTGGCACAAGACAGATGGATTGCTTCAGAAATAATTGAGAATGTACTTTGCAAGGGTCTTACAACAAACTTTAGAGACAGAAGGAGGAGGGAAAAATATCCAGACAATTTGTTTTCGTTTTGACTTTGTTGTTAGTCTCTACTTTATATCTCTGTCAGTTAGTAAAATATTGCAGGTACAGAGAACTCAAGATACTGGTTAATTTCATAATCGTTATCCTGCAGAAAGTTGGGTGTGATCGATAACAATGCAAGGCTTTAAAAAATATCTGTCCAGATAATATTGCACTTGGGATTTGTGTGTTTCTATAGTTTTGAAAAGCCTCCCCTAATCACAAAAGTCTATGTATCATCTCTTTACAATAAGCAGAGCAGAGTAAACCCTTTAACAGCTACCTAAACATGCAGGCAAACAAATTATTGAATAGGTGCACTTTATTCTCTTAAAACCAAGAAGAGACCTGCAGGGTGAAATCTAAGAGAGGTTTTGTTTCTTTCCTGGTACTTTGGATAAAGACAGAAAACAAATCAGAGCTCTATTCGCATTTCTTTTTAAATATGAGCTTGCAAAGCAGCTAGTCAAGGTACAGTTCAGAGGGGGAGGGGATGGGCAAGGAGGACAGAGAAGTTGGATGGAAAAGACTGAAGTATCCACACTGTAACTTCCCACCTCTTAAAAACTCCTGGGCTGTTCGTTTGCCCAGACCCTCCCTCCCCGAGAAAGCCGAGGTGGGAGCCAGGGGCTGGGAACAGAGCATCCCCTGAACAGAACCGTGTCCATCCAGATCCCATTTTTTAATTAAAGACACGGGAAGGGCATCTCGCTAACTAACTTTTGCCTCATGCCAAGAGAGGTGGCTGCTTTTGCCAGCCTCAGAGGCCGCCCTCCTACCAGCCTCCTGCTGTTGACAAGCCAATGGGGGGGGGGGGGGGGGCGG